GAAAAAGAAAAAGAGGGGAGACATACACTGGAAAAGAGAATAAGAGGTAAAATGGGAACATAGACAAGCATTTCTTGGGAAAATTATCTACATAATTAGCAGATAAGATTGAACTGTGAGTAAGATTTAATTGAATAAAACAGCCATCAATAACCATCAGAAAGCTCTTTAATGAAAGGTCAAAACTGCTGCATGGTGACAGTGGCTGTTATTGTGTGGAGATATAATTGTTAGGCAAAAAATTTAAACCAGTTTTTAAGTGTTTTTTTTTTTTTGTAACAAACAACTGATGAAGATACTTTTTGTATATATAAAGTAAATAGTTCTTGAAGGTAAAAGACATATTTGTTTATGAGATTAACAAAAGTTAGTGCATGAGCTAATTTCAATGTGGGCGACTACAAGGATGAACTAACAAGAGAGTTTTCGACACTAACAGTTCAGAATTATAATATTGAACTCAGATGCCTAAACTGGTGGGGTGAAATTGCAACATAACCACTAAACTTGTTTAGAAATTGGATCAACCAATATAATTACCACTAACCAATTAAGTTACTAGAACAGTGAATCATTTTGCAAAACGGCATATTATGATCTAGCTCTTGCCTAATACTCAACAAATTCATCAAATAAATGAACAAGACATTATCACTAGTGACAGTTCTCATAAGTTTAGTTCCTGGAGATAGGATCCTCTACCATTACCTTTCTCCCTCTTCAAGAATAAACTAAAAATTTGGGCAACTTCCAATCACAACATTTCTTTTAATTAGACATGCTAATTTTTCATTAGTTGCTTCAGCAAGATTGGCTTGAGATTAAGGCCACTTTTCCATTTCTCCAATTTTCTCACCACTCCAACTAGCGCACACTGCCTTAAACAGTAACAGCATAGAATGTCACCCTCTCTAAGATGACAACTAAAGAAAGGCAACCTGCTTTCCCTTTGACGATCTCCTCACCCATTTTTCTGCTATCCGTTATTCACTGCTTATCTTAGGACTAACTAGTTCACTGAGGACCACTCTCCATAAACACTTTGCCATGAAGATGATGTCGATGCAAAGTATTATTCAATAATAGCATGCCTAAAATACTTAAAGTAACACCTTCCCAAACAACTAATAGCATGTCTAAAACACTTCAAGTAACATCTTCCCAAGCAAGTCAAAACACACTACAGTTCTATGATGTGGTAACACATTTTTTTGGGACTAAATCTGATGAGGTAACTATGAGACAATGTAAACTACTTGTATCACTTGCAAAAGCAATCAGAAATTTGAAGAGGTGGACACAATAAACTACCACTCCCCAGTAGGCAGAGATGACTGATCTACATTGGTACTCAGGCATGAGAGAGGATGGAAAATTCACCATTTGTCTGGTCATGAGCTTTTTGACATGTAATATTGTTGTTTGCTTTGGTGCTCCGTCCTCCATTAAGCTCTGTTGCTCTCTCAATGCCCTTTGACTTGTATGGAGCTATATTTGGACAACTGAACTTTAGAGCTCCCAATAAATCAGTCTCGATGCATTCGTACCTGCATATCAGCACTACCATCAGTTTCTCACTAAAACTAACAATAAATTACGATACCAAGATGCCTACTTACATCTTCTTACATAGTGTATCAGTTACCACAGAGAGATTTATAACTTGCATCCTCATTTCCGCAATCTCTTCCGCTTTGAAATCATCAAATGGCTCCTCAAAAGCTTTTGATAGCTTTTCAATATTTGCCTCAAGCTGCTGCTGCTGGTCCTCAAATAAATGCTGTTTTATTTCCCTTTCTTCTTTTGTCATTTCATCCTTAAATAAGTCATCACCAAACATATAATATGCAAATGGGTATGAAAACGAGAGAGCCCGTCTTGATCTGGAAAGCCTGTAAAGTCCATTTGTAATCCAACTAAAATCTTTCGCTATTGACTCCTTTGCTTCCAAAATTGCCACCTTTTCTTTTATAGTATCCCTCAGACGAGACTCCTGTGTAGAAGAATCTATATGAGCTTTATAACGATTGTGATAATGCATGTAGCGATAAAGATCACGCTTAGCCCGTTCAGCTTTCTTCTCCTGATCTTCCTTATAACGACCACAGCTGTGACCAGTGATATACGACCAAGTATGATCTCGGCCAGTAGCTCCACCACATAGCCAACTACAGCAAACGAGAAAACATAATAGAAGATCAACCAACAAAACTGGGAAGGCAATTTCCTTCAGCTACTATTTCAACTTAAGAACAAATGGAATGAAGCAGCAAGAATTATATCATATTGCTCGAGTTAAATGTTGTACCATTTCAACTTATAGAACAAACGGAATGTCCAATTTGAGATTCATAAAGACTTCAATGCAAACTTATGAGAGTGAGAATAGGCTTCCTAAAGGTTAACTTTGGTACCAGGTAAGAGAATTTGAACATCCAACTCAAAACCTTAAGGTGAAGTGGAGTAGGGTAAAACATTCATAACCCCTTTGGATGCCGTTACACAGTCCATGTAACGACAATTATATAACTAAACAAACTAAAAGTAAGACAAAATATATGCCCGGTAAGCTTAGAGTATAACACAAATAAAATTGAAGTGAGATTAGACAATGTTGTAGTGCCTAAACTGCAGACAATAAGATATTTAGACTCAAACTTTTAGAAATATATCATGATAGATGTGTGAGCAATTAAAATAAGATGTTTGAACTGAAAGGCGCTAAGGAAGTATTATGCGATAGTAGAATACCTACCAATGTGTAAAGCAAGTCCTAAGTAATAATTATAAGACCAAAAATGCAAATAAGAGCCAATATTGGCATGTAAACCAAACCATATCAATAATATAAATGTCGTAGCAATTCGAACACTAACATATATGTGCAGCCCATTCAAGATTAGACAAGATTAAAAATGATCACATATGACAGAAAATGCAAGTAGAAACATGAGGAGGAATGAGATAAGGTCGCCCGAGATGGTTTAGTCATGTCTTACATAGACACCCAAATAGACATATTCATAGCACTGACACCATGATCAATAAAATTATTTACATATAGAAAAAAGAACCTTGAAAAGACAAGTGAGCAAGTCCTAGGAATCCAAGTTTTTCCAAACAAAGATCAATACTGCTTAAATTAAACTAGATCTATGTTAACTCCAAGCTAGATCAAAATAGTATAGGATCGCCCCCAGGACTTTGGTCTAGTGGTAAGAACACAACACATGATGTGTGGGTTAGACGCATGTCAGGGTTTCAAACCCTGCTGCAGAAAAAAGCCAGACATTTAAGTGGATGAGAGACGGGTGGGCCCATTGAACACCACTGGCTTCGAGGATTTCTCAGTAATAAAAAAGTCTTGGATCAAGTCCGGTCCTGATCCTAAAATTACAAAAGGAGCCTCAATCTTTATGGACTTTTCAAATTACTAGAGGCTGCTAACAGAATAAGGTAAAACAATAGGTGCGCCATGAAGTCATGTTCTCTGCAAATGGGCCGACAGTGCTGATACGTATCCAGAGTGTTCGTTCATCAATAACATCAGAATCAGCTTTAAGTTGTGAGAAATCTAGGCACAAAAAGACATCAAGAGTAAACTCACCAAAATGCTTGCCCACAAATGCAGCTAACTAGGTTGCAACCTCCATTCTTCTCAACGGGTTTGTGACACTTTGGGCAAGGCTTAGTGTGAACTGTAATCCAGTTAACTGTCTCTGATTCATCTCGGCACTTCTTGGTCCAAAGTTCCCACATCAAGCAAGAACAAGGTGAATGTGCTTCTGATAAGCAACTGAAACAGAACTGTAAACCACATGAACATTCAACTTCACAAAGATCATCAGTCTCTAGCCGTATAGCATTCCCACAATGAGGGGTACTTGGACACCATTTCACCATTTTATTGTCCTCAATGTATGATTCAAGGAGAAACCGATCAAATTTCTCTGCCAAATCCGGATGCCTTTTACTAACGAGCTTTCTGATAACGGCTTCATCACAAATTGCAAAGCATTTATGAGCCATGCACCTTATTCTCTTACTCTGCCCCTCCTTTATTTTCACAATGAAATGCTCTGTCCAACCTAAACAAACAAACAAGAATTAGCTTATTTCCAGCATAAAAATGAAAATAAGTAGCAGCAAGCATGTGAAACAAAAAAGAGAAGCCTGGAACCACTTTAATTTGACAGGTTTCAGAAAAAACATATGTAGAGACCATTTGAAAATAAAAAAGCACGCCCTTTGATATAGAAACAAAAACATCCAAAACCTTAAAAACATTCGAAACAAATTGTACAATTGTATGCTAATACAGAACTGGAAGGCCAAACATTCAAGATTAACAAGATGTTCATAAATAGTAGAATGAATTCTGATGGAATCAATAATGAAGCACTGGCTCTACTCAAAGAATTACTTCTCACATTCATTGCAGAAGCAGTGACCACAATCCATTTTTGTGACATCACTCCCCGCTACCTCTTCTATGCATATATTGCACATCGCCGTCAAAGAAGACACAGACGATCCAAAATTAACTTCTTCAAGCACAGTTACCCCTGCTTCAGCAAATAAGCAAGCTTTTCCCTTTTCTACAAGAACTGCAAACAACCTCTCGAGATCCCAACGGTAGTGAATGAGCAACGTTCTCGCATGGTGTTCTTTTAGCGAGAGCAAGTCCATCACTCTCCGCAACTCTTCCCTCTAGCAAAAATGTAAAAACACCTCAGATATCCGTGTTTAAAGATCAAGCGCAAAGCATACGCGTGTCAAGTGCCAAAAAAAGAACTTTTCAAGTCTTCATACCTGTGCCACCAAGAGAGACTCCTTTGTGATTACCTGTAAAACAAACTGCAAATTATCAGATAAAACCAATAAAAAGAGGGAGAAAAAAGGGAGGCAACAAACAATGGCACATCATCCAATTGAAATCCATAGAAAAGAACCTAACTTGAAGCAGTAATTTCAAAGAAGGAATAATAGCACTTTTGGTCCCTCAGTGATTAATAAATTCTGATTTTGGTCATTGTGATATTTGACACCAACACATCTAACCTTCAATTAATTAAAATGTATGTATTTGGTCTCTTTATGTAGGAAATATGTTATATTTAGACTATCTTATGTTGTATTTAGACTATATTTAAAACTATATTACCCTCAAATATGGTGTAAAAATAACAATACAAACTTAACACAATACATTGTAATTAAATGGTGGAACGGTTAATAATTCTCGTAAAATATTTATGAAGGTTAAATGTGATTAGTCAGATATAAAACAGACTAAAACCAGAATTTATCAATAATTGAGGTATTAACCCTTCAAAAAAACCTTTTTTTCTCCCGTTTCAGATAAAGAAAATTACAAAATCGTGAAAACCTATAAAGAAAAGGTTTGTAAACACACTAAGACTTCAATCAATGAATCAATCAACTACTTCTCAATATCAAACAAATTACAGAACTAAAACTAAGTAGTACTACTTAATAACCTAAAATCAAAATGTTTGAAATTATTAATTATTACTCTTACCACATACATGATCATCAAAATTGAAGGTTTTATAGAACAAGGAGAGAAACAAGTAAACTAAAAATTCATACATAATGAAAAATTCTAGGGATTTTAAAGCACCTTGCAGGAATTTCCTGTAGAAGAGGCCCACCGGGAATCAGACTCCTCATTCTCGAGTCCTTCCAAAGAGTCTTCTTGATCAGAAGAATATATATCTTCATCGCCGCTCAGGTAATCCTCCATTCACTTTTCGCCTCTGCGCAGATTAAATACCAAAAAAATACAAAAAAAAGGAAATTTGAAGAATGTATGAATCAAGAAATCGGTGGATCGAAGTGAGAATTCAAGAGCTCCGATCAGATTAACATCGGAGGTTAATTAGGGAAATCGTTCCCTCTTTTCGTCGAGAGGAGATAAACAGAAATATTATGTGTGTGTTTTTTGCATAGAAATAATTTAATTTTTCTATACTGAAGGTGAGACTTTGGCTTTACTTATTTTTAGCTTCTGGGGAGCTGAGGCTGGGAATCCGAGTTGGAGTGGGGAATTTATGAAAATTATACGACGTCGTTAATGTGGCTTCAACGAGAAGATTTTGACGAAACGACGCGTTTTGATGTTGAAAGGTTTGTCAATTTGCCTATCTGGATCAATTAGTCAAATAGTAACTAATTAATTAATTATATTCCTTGTGGATTATGTGTCTGCAAATAGTAGGTTCATTAATTAGCTCTAAGATAAAAATTTCACAAAACCTTACCTTAATTAATGCAACGAATATGACATGTAGTAGTGTAGGTAAATGAGATGTACCTTATGCTAAATGTTAAGAACAAAATTCTCTTAAAGTTTTTTTAATATATAAACAGGTCATGTGATATGAATATAGATTTTTCTGAAATCACATTGCTAAAGTTATTTACATGATTTTTTAAAAGAAAAAAATATAAAGAGTAATTAAGTTGAAGAACGTTCGCCATTAAAATGTAAGACTGCTTACTTTATGTAATTGTAATTGCTTTTGATTTTGATTCGGTTTACTTTCTCTTTAGTTAGTGTCATAGAGCGGCCACCGTTTTCATTAAATCCAGGATTGACAGTATGTTCAAACACAGCTATTTAGTGTTCAAAACCTTCGTATGAAGGTTATACTCCCCTCTTTTTAATCTTTAATTATGTGTTATAACACTAGTTTGATTGCGGATGATGTGATAATCAGCATAAAACCAAAAAATAAAGATTTCCCAACGTCAATTGCATGGCTAAGAGAATTAAGATAGGTACATCACATCAACTTGTAGGTCTTGTATTGGATAACAGGATAATACCTTCTCCTAGTACAATTAGAGTAGGATTAAAAAACCTTATCATTGGATTGAGTAGGAGTGTAGGACTGCATCACTTTATCCTTAAAGTCTTGGACTTTGAGCAGGAATGATTGCACCTCACTGTATTTTTTGTAAATATAGATGTAACAACTTGTTACTGCTGCAGGTTTTTTCCATTTATATTAGTAAATGTTAGTTCCTTTTTCTTATTCAGTTGAGTTGTTGCACATTTCATTTGACAAAATTCAATGAAATGGTTTTCTTTTTCTTTTTTTTTTCTCAAAAGAAACTCAAAATTAATACTCACTCTCAATTAGTTTATGTGAACCTATTTCCTTTTTGGTCCGTTCCAAAAAGAATGACCCATTTCTAAACTTGGATACAATTTAGCTTAAACTTCTAATTCTACCTTTAATGAGAAGCTTTTATAACCACACAAATACTCGGGACCCCTTTTTGACTTGTTTAAGACCACAATTTCAAAAATCTTTATTTTTTCTTAAACTACATGCGCGGTCAAACAGATACACATAAATTGGAACGGAGGGAATAGTAATAATTATGTATATATGGGGAAAGAAAAAATATTAGAATTATCTAGTAAAAATTGCACGGGGCGCCCTATTTGGTCGCCCCCATTTAACCTATACCCATTTTTTTAAAAACTTTTAACTTGTACCCACTTTTTAAACAACTTCAGCTCCCTTTCTCCTCCTCCTTCTCCTCCTCAAAGTTTTATCTTTTCTTTTTCCAGAAGTAAGGTATCCCTATCTGCTTCTTCTTATTTCTCCGGTGAGTTCTATAAATTTTCACGCCAACTTATACATCTGAAACAACCAATTTGCTTTTTTCATCACTTCCTATCACGTGACATGCATATACAACTGACTTGGTGATTTGTTTGATTAATTACTACTGTTGGACCACATTTCAAGGAAGCTAACAACTTCCTATGGCCATTCCAGCTTAAGGCACCTCTTGGTGGACTCGAGAAGAAGAGAAACCACTACGTTGAAGGTGGTGACGCTGGAAACCGCGAGAATTACATCAATGAGCTCATCAGGAGGATGAACTAAAAGAATCTCACTAAGCAGCAAATTTTATTTCTTTAGAAGTGTTTGTTTTTGGTGTTTGAACTGTTTGTAATATGGAACTAGTCAGGATTCAGGTCTTGTTCGCAAGGTAAAAAGTTTGGTCAAGATGGTGTGGCAAATGAAATTATAAACAAACAAAAACTTCAGCTGTAGAGCTGAAGTTCCCCAGTTACAAAGACAAAAACTTCCCCAGTTACAAAGACAAAACTTCATTTCTAGAGCTGAAGTTACCCAGTTACAAACACAAAAACTTCAGCTCTAGAGCTGAACTTCAGGCCCGGCTACTAGAATGCTGAAGTTTTGGGTGATTGCCTTTGCTACTTCAGCCCCGTGTGCTGAAGTTATGCGAAAAAGCGGGTATGCTTGCAATTTTTTTTGCAAAGCGGGCACAAAAAACGGGTATAGATGCAAATGTCCATTCTATCACATAGTAATGGAGTGGACCACGAAAAAGAGCAATTTGATAATAATTTCGCAAGAAGATATCTCAATAATAAAGCAAGGACCAAGTTAACCCCAATTTTGACAACGGTAACAGAAAATTCATGAGGGGACTTACAGGGTTTTATATCTGGTTTTGTGAACTGCGAATAACTAATTTGCCCAAATGAATTTTCGAAATGTAGTAACTCCCAAATTCCAAAAAAATAAATTATAATCAATTAAAGATCATACTGGTCAAAAGACTACACAATTTTTGTAACATTTCAGTACTATAACAAAAGTAATAAACAATATTATAAGTTGCAAAAAGGAGCCGCTGTTTACGTTCTACTTCTGGCTTTACATCTCATCGATGTTGGTTCTGAATAAATAGTCTTCACCCTCTAATTCATCATGGTATAGAGATATTGATGGGATACTTGTTTTTTCCCCGCACTCCTCGCTCTCTGATGATCTTTGTCCCTGCATTAATTCAATTCTCATGTTCAGCATTCTATCTTGGTGCATCAAACCATTATGCAATCCGCATTACAGGTCATGTTGTGCTCGTGAAGATATATTCTAAGGAAAAATGAATAGAACACAGGCCAACGGCGTGTAGGGTGAAGACAAATTTTCTGGAATTACAACTTACCTTTTTCAAGATGTAGAGAAAATAGTGGAATGTTTCCCCAAAAGTATTCCACTCAACAGACCAGGTGAACTCAGGATGATTAAAGAACCGGCGCCTGAAGTGCGGCTGGCCAATAAAAGCAAATTGAAACAATTTAGAAGCATTTAGCAATAGAATTAGGGCGAACCATTTGAGAGACGAGTGTTAATAAAGAGATAAGGTGTTGGTTGCTGCTCTTACTATTTACAACTAAAAAAATGAAAGAATAAACCAAAAGCTGCTTTTACTACCTGGCCGAATGTGATAGATATAAATATTCCCTCAGGTTTTAGAACTCTGTGAATTTCGTGAAGCATTTTCATCACCTTCTCCACTGTTGCAGGGTGTGGATTCCAGGGGTCACCACTGTCCACGAACAACACATCCTTCAAGTTCAACAATATACATTTTTGATAACGAAGTTCAACAACATATAAATGAATAGCCGATCGTCTGAAAAGGAAAATGATTGGCAGCCATTGCTGCACTAGGTAGTACATCCAAAATAAAACTTCTAATAATACCATTGTTCCTTTCTCTATAACCACATCAAAACATCCATCTTCAATAGGCAGGTCTAGCATATCAGCTTCCAGCACTTTTATTTCTGTTGACATTGATAACATAAAACATCAACAATGGAGCATCTCAACACCCTTAATTAGTCAGAACATGTTCCTAATACTGACATATTTCTCTTGTTATGTGTTAGCGTTCTTTCACCCAATACAATTAAAACCTTTTACTTGGAATTGCCAAATGCAAATAGTCTTGTTTAAGTATAGGTGTAGCCAAGATTGCCCTTAAATCAGGGAAGGAATGATAAAAAAGACAAGTACTCTGATAAAACACAAATCTCGATCAATCAAATCCAAAATGGCAGAAAGAATGTTGGCTAAGCCACCACTGAAATTCCATACCAGAACTTGTCTCTTGACTTTGCACAGGAGCATTCTGTAAGCATAACGATTGTGCAGACACAGTCTCAAAAAACAAAAGGTTCTTTGAGTTAGCAGGGGCCACTATCAAACCACATGTCTGGGATAGTCTTCAATGGGGGGAGTCTGAAGATGGTGCGTTTACAGTCAAGAAAGGATATGCTCTCTTGTGCTCCAACAAAGAACTGATTGATAACTGGCCATGGAAGCTAATCTGGAAGACCAAGTTACCTCCCAAAGTGATCTGTTTTTGCTGGCTAGCTTCGTATGAAGCTTGTCTTACTCAAGACAACCTAAGTAAGAGAGGCATCCCGACTGTAAATAGATGCTACATGTGCAGAATGAATCTCGAAAGTGCGAGACATCTGTTTTTGCATTGTCCAGTAGCAGCAGATATTTGGAACATGTTCCTGTCTATTTTCGGGATACCCTTGGTCATGCCTTGCTCCATCAAAGATGCTATGAAAGTTGGTGCTCTTGGAAAGTTGGAAAACCCATCAAAAAGACATGGTTAATGGTTCCTGCCTCAATCTTTTGGTGTATCTGGAAGGAACGAAACCATAGGTTTTTTGATGGGATCTCAACTTCAAATCATGCTCTTCAAGCTAAATGTTTAGTGGATTTACTTAGCTGGCTTAACCAAACCCCTGTATCTAGCTGTGAACAACTTTTGGAAGGTGTCTGCTCTCTAGTTATAGATTAATCTTTGTATCTGAGCAGTCACCTTTTTCCCTCTTGTATATTCTTGTCTGCATCTTCTTGATGCCATTAATGAAACTCTATTGCTTCATCAAAAGAAATAGGTTCTTTGATGCAAACGAGTCAGAAAATTCGGGTTGGATGAGCTCATTTTTAATGTAGCCGTGCACAGATTAGTTACCCCCAACTTATTGGGATATATGCCAGCAGGAAAGTTACCTTACTCTTAGCTAGCGTTTGGCCATAGATCTCAAATTTATTTTGAAAAATCTGATTTGGGTGAAGTTTGGTTTGAAGATGAAAATGTGTTTGGACAAACGTTTTCAAAACATATTTTCCAACTTTATTTTGAAAAAACA